GTATCCGTCGTCTTATGATGGCGACGGGGATGACGATGATGACAACGACGGCGATTATGATGACGATGACGATGACGATGATGATGATGATGATGATGATGATGATGATGATGGTGATGATGATGACGATGACGATGGTGATGATGATGATAATGGTTGTGGTGCTGGTAATGGTGATGGTGATGACGATGGTAATGGTGATGATGACGACGATGATGATGATGATGATGACGATGATGATGATGATGATGATGATCGTGATGAGGACGATGATTCTACTGATGAGGATGATGATGATGGTGATTACGATGATGATACCGACGCTGATGATGATGATGGTGAGCATGATGATGATGCTTTTGATCACGATGATTGTTAGGAGAAGGAGGAGGAGGGGATACTGCTGATGATTATGATGACGAGATGATGACGATGATGCTGATGGTGATGAGGATGATGATTATGACTATGACGACGACGACGGCGATGCTGATGGTGATGTTAATGATGATAATGAGGATGCTGCTGATGATGATGCTAACGATGATGCTGCTGATGATAATGCTGAGGAGGGCGACGATGACGATGACGATGATGATGTTGTTGATGCTGGCGATGATGAGGATGGTTGTTGTGGTAATTATGCTGATGGTCATGCGGATGAGAACACTGTTGCTGCTGATGAAGATGGTGAGTATGATGATGATGCTGCTGAAGATGATGGCGATGGTGATTGTGATTTTGAGGATGATTTGGTTGTTGATGACGCTGATCATGGTGTGGATGCAGATGATACTGATGGTACTGAGTACGACGGTGACCATGATTATAAAGATGATGGTGACGACGACGGTGATGATGGTCAGTATGATGACGATTTTGGTGGTGGTGATGATGATGTTGATGGTTGTGATGATGATTGGCGACGTGGTGGCGACGACGAGAATGAGGCTTGTGGTGATGAGGACAATGATGAGGTTGATGCTGATAGCGGTGATGGTGAAGATGGGGATGGTGATGCTGATCGTGATGACACTGATGATACTGCTGTTGATGACGAGGATGCTGATGATTATGATTATGCTGATGCTGATGATGGTGTCGATGAGTCTTCTGCTGATGATGGTGTCGATGCTGCTGACGCGTTTGTTGTTGGCACCTACGATTTCTATGATGACGATAGCGATAATGAGAATGTTTGTCCTAATACTACTAATGGTGACACTGGTGATGCTGCTGCTGCTGCTGATGATGATGATGATGACGATGCCGATGCTGATGTTGACAATGATACTGATGATGCTGTGATGGCGATGATGATGCTGATGACGATGCTGATGTTGATGCTGATGATGATGCTGCTGATGGTGATGCTGATGTGGTGATGATGTTGAGGATGACGATGGCGATGGTGATGGTTTTGATGCTGATCTCGATGACGGCGATGCTGCTTATGAGGATAACTATTGCTTCAACTGCTGATGCTGCTGATGATGATACTGATGAGCAAGATGAGCAATATGAAGGCGACGGGCAGCGGCATGATGACAAGGACATTAATGATGCTGATGATGCCGATGGATGATGCCGTTGATGCCGATGAGAGCAGTAAAGAAGGGAGGAGGGATAGCAGGAGGGCTGACGCGCAAGCACCCATCCTCCGCGTGGCCGAAGAAGAATCGCAATCGCGAGGCTCTGGAGTTGTGAGGAATGCCCCCTCGACACCTCAGTGGTGTGAGGAAGAAGCAGACAGCGACGCCGCTTGAGGCTCCCCAAACATCCTTGGCCGATGTTGCGAGACAGAGTGTGTCGTATTTGTCTTCGCGGCAAGTTGACGATCTCTGACGGCCTATATAGGTCCAAAGGCCTCTGGATGCTCAACAAACCATCAACAGCGCTCAAAGGCTTAGATCCCCCTCCGTCTTATCGTCCTCATGCTTGTGCTCGTTTTCCTTCCTCGTCGTCCTTGTCCTCTGCGACGACGGCGACAACGCTGATCGCGCCGCCGACGCTGCCGCCGACGATGGCGACGACAGCGACGACGACGATGACGGCAGCGACGACGACGACGTTGTCGGCAACGATGCTGACGAAGGCGGAGGCGACGACGGTGACGATGGCAGCGACGCCGACGACGTCGACGGCGCCGACGGTGGCCACGACGGTGGCGACGACGAAGACGCCGGCGACGACGACGACGACGATCAAGACGACGCCGAGGCCGACGACGGGGGCGGCGACGGGGAGCCGCAAGAGGGGGGGGGCCGAGGTGGACAGCGGCCCCATTGTCGCCCTCGAGCTCGCCGCGGAGTCGCTGCCCGCGGGCGCGCGCCTCGGCCTGTCTCGGGCCTGGCGGGGACGTCGTTGCCGCTGCCGTCGCCTCCGCCGTCTTCGTCATTGGCGTCGTCGTCGTCGTCGTCGTCGGCCGGTCGTCGTCGTCGTCGTCGTCGTCGTGGGTCGAGGAATGAGGATCGTGGGTCGAGGGCCGATGATGATGATGCTGATGATGATGATGCTGATTCTGATGCTGACGATGATGTGTATGGTTTTGATGATGATGATTCTGATTTGGAGGGTGAAAGAGGGGGTCTGCAACAGGGGGTCTTCAATGGGGGCTGAATGGCCCATGTATGTTCAATGTATCGCTCATGTATGTGATCGGGTATGATTGGCATTCAATGTTGGCGGTCGTGGAAGGCCAGTGACTCGTGCCCGCCCGTTGCCAGCGCGGGCGAAGGCGCCGTCCATCCATTATCGTTCATGCGTGCGGGCGTTCTTGCATATCGCGCTTGGGGCGGCGAAGTGGAGTGCAAGTGTGTCTTGATTGTGCGATTGATGATCGCGTGCGTTCCCAAACGATGACTTGTCGACCCCCAAGACAAATTTGCAACAGGGCCCGCGATTCTCCCAAAATTTGAATTCACATTGTACTCTTTTCGCACATTTGAATTCATATTTTCCTTTTCCCCAAAATGTAAATTCACATCCTGGCCCCTTTCATACATATTCCTATACAAAGCTCCAACATGTGAATTCATTTTATCCTTTTATTCCAAACTGTGAATTTACATTTTCCTTTTTTCCCCAAATGCGACTTCACATATTGCTTTGCACCGCAATGTGAATTCACATTTGCCCTGGCCCTCCAAATCCCCACAACTGAGGCGCAGTTTTCCGCATGCCAGATTGGCTGGGCAGATGTTGACCCTCACCTCACCGCTTTCGTTTATTCCAACCCTGCCCTGTTGCTCCTTCAGCGCACGTTGTGTTCGTCGCCTTTCCCGAGCCCCCGCCCCCTTGCTTCGTTCACCTTCAAGTCTCGCGCATGGGTGCAGGCGGGGAGCTTCAATTGGTTCCCCCGCTGAACCTATCAATCGAGGATGTATCGCCCATGCGTGGCCCATAGAGACACCATTGCCGAGACCCTGCGCCTGACCCCCACTTCCCCCCTTCAAATGCTACTGATGAGGATGAGGATGATGGTGGTGCTGATGATGCTGCTGCTGGTGCTGATTATGATGCTGATGCTGACGGTGATGATGATGCTGGTGCTGATGCTGATGATGATGTTGCTGATGATTGTGATGATGATGAGGATGCTGGCGCCCATACTTATGACGATGATGATGCTGATGTTGATGGTGGTGATCATGATCATGATGATGCTGACAATGGTGCTGATGATGATGGTGATGGGGAGGGGGAGGAAGAGGCAGAGGAGGAAAGGAAAAGGAGGGGGAGGCGGATGACGCGGAGGAGGAGGTGGCCCGAGTAACCTGCGGCGCAACCGAAGTAGTCATTACACGGGAGCGCACAGAGGCAAATGGGGGGAAAAACGTCAAGTCTCTTAACCGAGAGCGGGCGCGACAATAGCTCCGCAAGAGCATGAAGTTCGACCTTCGCTCTGGCAGACACGCGCAGCCTCCCCCTCCGTCCTTTCTCATCCGGCCCTGTGCCTCCGTTGGCTTCGTTGCGCCCCATCGGTGCCCTGCAGCTGCTTTGATCCAAGTGGCCGCCGACCAAAGACACGGGTGAATTCAGGGCATCTTCTAGGTCTTCGGTGGTGGCCTATGTCCCACCACCAGTACCACAGGTAAGGGAGGGAGGAGGAGGGAGAGGACGAGGAGGGGGAAAAAGAGGAGGAGGAGGAGGAGGAATAATATTAATACTTATACTATCAATGCTAAAACTACTATCACGAATGTTCGCAATAAGAACCATACTTGTATTACTATTCAGCATAATCCTGAGAATACTAATAATAAGCATGATGCTAATAGTATTATGTATCCTATTCTCATTAATTCGAATAGTAATACCAATGATATTGATAATCGTACGAAGAATAACAACAATAGCAACATCAACGCTAAGAATACTACGAATCATAATACGAATAACAATAATAACCAATGGTAATACTTGTAATGCTAGATGGATAATATTACTATGAGTTTTATTATCATTACTCATAAAAACGGGTACTAACAATATTTACACTACAAATTCTGATAATACCAATACTACCAATCTTATTACCAATGCTACTACGACTACTACTAATAAAAATACGAATGGTACTACTACTAATGATACTAATCATAATAATATTAAGGCTACTAAACATAATTATATTAGTAGTGCTAGTAGTAGTAGTAGTAGTAGTAGTAGTAGTAGTAAGTAGTAGCAGAGTAGTAATAGTAGTAGGTAGAGTAGCAGTAGTAGTAGTAGTAGTAGTAGTAGTAGTAGTAGTCGTAGTAGTAGTCGTAGTAGTAGTAGTAGTAGTAGTAGTAGTAGTAGTAGTAGTAGTAGTAGTGGTGGTAGTGGTAGTCGTAGTCGTAGTCGTATTCGTAGTCGTAGTCGTAGTTGTAGTCGTAGTAGTAGTAGTAGTAGTAGTAGTAGTAGTAGTAGTAGTAGTAGTAGATAGTATGTAGTAGGTAGTAGGTCGTATGTAGTAGGTAGTAGGTAGTAGGTAGTAGGTAGTAGGCAGTAGGTAGTAG